CTCCCACGGGTGGCAACGACAGCGGATAGCCTGCAACTCACCTAGAAGGGTTGTTGGTTGTAAGAGGCTTGTTAGAGCGATGAGAGGAGATGTTCGAGTGAACTGAACTGTAGATTGGGGGTACAGAGGTCCCCTATATATACTACTGTACATCTGTGGCTACGTAGTACTATACAGTACATTCCCAGGATGCACAGTCGCACAGAGAAGCATTGCGTACACAGCAAAGCTGTGTGTGTACCACATGAGTAGTACAGCCTCGGTTATTGCAGTAACCGGCTGTGCCGTTCCATATCTTGTGACGGCTGGATTAGGCAAGCTGTGTAAACCAGCGCCTGTTCAACACCCAGGACATGTACAAGTTGTTCTACCACGACAAACTTGTGGCGGACAAGATATAAAGCCTGCAACAGGCCTCTGTGTGCTCTATATTGCTTCAGATGCCTCGTCGTCTTGCTATCGGACAAACCCTGCGGGGTCGGTATGCACGACGTGAAATCATGCTTCGAGGCCACTTAAGGCAGGCTATAAATGCTGAACTAGGTGAGATTTCGATATCATTTACGTTATCCATTACATCAGCTTATGCAGGGTGCAGCCCGTGTCAGTGGTGTCAGCGGGGCAGAAATGCGATGGACACTGTCAGCCTATCTCAAGCACATCTTCTTCAAACTAGGCATCAAAATCATTTGGCCACCGGGCCTGCTGTTTGCAAACCTTAGTCAGCACTCGGGCATACCACGGATCACACAGGTCAAAATGCTGTGGGAGAGTGGGGTCATTCGATTTGCGCCCATTACGGATGCCGACCGCGCGGCAGCGCTTCAGAACCCTCTCAGCGCAGCACCTGGACCGCTCCATCATGGACTTCGGAAGTCCTATGGCCGCTCCGATATCAAGGCCCGGCGAAATCGCCCAAAAACAAACCCACTGAACCTGCCATACAGGTACGAGCGCCATGGGCCAAAGTCCGCAAAAATAGTCTCTGCAAGGGCAGAGGCAGCAGCTGAGGCAGAGGTGCGAGAGGCTCGGGAGAGGGAGGCTCGGGAGAGGGAGGCCGGTTCTGATGTCGATGACATAGAGCCGTTTAGTGATGATGAGGAGATGCGGGCAGTGGACGAATTGATGTCAGACCCAATTGAGGAGTGGGAGTAGTTAGTGATCTTACTGCGGTGGATATCAGTTGCTATTCACACACTCGTCACCTGCACATGTCTCTCCGTTCTTATTACTTGTTGACTGCCATGTGTTCACACGCCCTGCCTACCTGCCGTGCAAAATCCCTGGCTCCCGACACCTTCCTTTTGCAACCAATTCCAAGCTTTCACTTCAACTGAGTGGCCCACCACACAATGGCAAGCTACATCTTCATATCCTACCTACAGGTGATCATCCTACACATCCGCACACCACTGAAGAACCTCCGGTGGTCGAGAAGATGTCCGGCCGAAAACCTCATGCAAAGGGAGCTCGATGCGGGGACCGCTTACATCGGGAGGGGGCTGGGTTGGGACTTGGTACGTACTTATCTGTGCACTTTGGCACGCCTGACTTGGCTGTCACTCATCACTGCGCGGCGGACTGGGCTCAGTACAGGTATGTCTGTGCTAGCATGTTTGATGCACCCCGGACAGCTGACAATGTAGACAAGAATGGCAGCACAACCGGTACAAAGGGTACTCGAGATGTGGGGAGACGAGTTGGAGGGGACAGCCGGACTCCTGCATTCAGCTGCTGAGTCCCCGGTGGTCAAGAAGATGTTCAGCCTCAAGCCTCATGTGAGGGGAACACCGCGCAGGAGACGACTTACGTCAGGAAGAGACTGCGGATTCGGTACCAACGACGACAGGCGCAGAAGCTTGAGTTTTGATACGTACTCACCTTTGTGCTTTGGTACTTGAGAGTCCTCCAGCAGCAGACTATGTTCGGTACAGGTATGTGCTACTAGCATGTCCGGTGTACTCCAGACAGCTGATGAGGAAGAGCTAGACGACAATTACATTGATTGGATGTCGGTACAGGGGAGTACTCGAGACGCAGGGAGACAGGTTGGAGGAGATGGTCACATTTCCGCACTCCGCTGGAGAGTCTCCAGTGGTCGAGAGGGTATTTGCCACTTACCTCGGCCTCCGGAAGAGACCATGGATTTGGTACCGATACGGAGGCTTGAGACTTGGTATGTACTCACCTGCGAGCTTTTGTACTTGCGAGTACGCGGCTTACCTTGGCCTCTAGACGAGACTGCAGATTTGGTACCAGCTCGGGACATGGTACATACTCACCTGCACCTTCCGAGTCCATGGGCGAGGAAATCACTTACCTCGGCCTCTAGACGAGACTGCGGATTCAGTACCAACGGCCGCAGATGAGGAGGATGCTTGGGACTTGGTATGTACTCACCTGTGCACCTCGGTACTTCCTCCGGTGGCAAAGAACATTCGGTACAGGCACGGCATATGGCTGCACTGGCACGTCCGGTGTAACCCAGATAGATGGTCGTGCTCCTGCACGCCGCTGCTGAGTCTCTGGTGGTCGAGAAGGTGTTGGGCCAAAGGCGGAGCGGGGGAGGAACATCTTACCTCCTTGGGAGGAAACTGCGGATACGGTACATTTGCGGAGACTCACCTGTGCGGTTCGGTATACCAGGCCTTTTCTTCCAGCTGCTGTTGCTCATTCCGGTACAGGTATGTTGACTGCGCTGGCATGTCCGGTGTACCCCAGATAGCTGCTAAACAAGAAGCAGAACTAGACAGCGACGGTAGCGGAGAAAACACGTTGTACAAGGGGGATAGTCAAAACGTAGCGAGAGGGGTCGGAGGAGATGGTGGCGGACAGAGAGCAAGGCGCGCGTGGCTTAAGCGCTCAAGTCTTGATTCGACTTCTGTGCGCCGCTGCCTGATGCGTGTGCACACTTTTTGTAGAGTCGCCACAAAGAAATATATTTGGTTGTGTACTGTACAATACATGCTTGTATCTACCGATTCTGGCCGCTAGTTTGCTAGGGCGACCGTCTGCCCGATTGCTCTCTAGCTCTGTAATGACCCCCGTAACGACCCCCTACTACCGCTGATGACTCCTGATCGCTCTCTATACCTCTGACCGCCCATTACTCCCCCAAACCACGGCTTACCGCCCATTACTCCCCCAAACCACGGCTTACCGCCCATTACTCCCCCAAACCACGCCTTACCGCTCACTATACCCCCAAACCATGCCTTACCGCTCACTATCCCCCAAACCACGCCTTACTGCTCACTATCCCCCAAACCATGCCTTACCGCTCACTATCCCCCCAAACCACGCCTTACTGCTCACTATCCCCCCAAACCACGCCCCTCTCAGTCTTTCTCGACGGTACACTCACCAAATCCCACACTTGGCGTCCTTGGTGTCTCGTCCTCGGCGTCTGGTCCTCGGCATCTGGTCCTCGGCATCTCATCCTCTTCGGTCTGCCTCTCCTCGCCATCGACACCACCGTGGGGAGCGCGCACAGAACGACCTATCCCACAACCTCTGTTCATATCCGTTCACAGCAACCGTGGCAGGAATACGCACCATCACTCCAACGCTCGCACCCGACCGCTCCCCCTTGTGCGCATGCAACCTCGAAAAGGACATGTTATATATACGCTGGAAAAAAACAACCTATCGGTGGCACTAATCGTGCCCGATATTGTTGCACTCTTGAGGACCTTGTCCGTACGCGTAGCATGTCCTGTTCAACCATCTTCAACGGTTATCAGATGACGATCGGCCATACCGGGCGTTGGGAGCGCAGTTCACTACACAAAGACAACTTTACATTTCGCCTCAAACACGACTACATACTACATGTAGGTTTCCGTAGTTTCAAGTCCTCCGAGCTCGACAGTGGCACTGCAGCAGCCACCGTGGCCACGGCGGCAGAAGGATGTCCTGGGGTATTTGATTTGCCAATGTCCCAAGCATGTCGGGATGTCGCGGACTGCAAGGGCGCGACGTCCAGACTAGCTTAGGACGAACCAGACTGGTTCTACGCAACCCGAAGTCCGAGGCCCTCGAACTCCGAGTCGGACGCTGACCACGCTGAGCTCTGAGCTCACCGCGGCTCAGCGACGCCCGCAACCGGGATATACCAAGCGGCGGACGTCCATACACATTCGCATCGAGGATGTGTTGCATCCGGGACACAAACGGACATCTGTGGGTGCGGGGCAGTACACGGTAGTCAGAAATAGTGCAAGACGTAGCGGAATGCGAGCAACTGAAAATGGCAACGATCTACGTAGGTTTTACCGCCCACAGGAAGGACTGAGGGGAGAGGGGGGGAATAGTAGGATGGAATCAAGTTCATTGAAGGGTACTCACAGCTGCAAGCTTAGCGGTGACCCGCATCGGCATTGCAGGCATGCCAGTGTGCCGTCGACACATGTGGCACTGGTGGCATCGTTGAATGCGTAAGTATACGGTAACTCAGCACAGAAGAAGACACGTACCGGACTGGGTTGCCTCCAACCCTGCAACGCAGGCGGGAGTCCATTGGGGAGATGACATCCCTCGCGGCTAGCTTTATATGTATCGATCCCATGCTTTCAAGCTCCGCATCTACCCTGGAATGGCAGTGCGTCAAGATAGGCCGTGCCTGCTTCCTGTGCTGCGGTAATGTGCTCGTCCAGATGCTTTAGAAGTTGGAGTTGGTATGTACGTTCGTATTCTTTCGTCGCTGCACTCGTGCCCGCGCGTGACAATTCTTGTTAGCGACTGCCCATGGAGGGGCTTCTTGCGTTATGAAGCAAACTAACAGCGCAATCAATTAACTCACGCTCACCATCCAGACAGTCACACTTTGCATCACACGATAAAAACAACATGGTATTCATTCAGTCCACGAGTATATGTCTATCGCCACCGGCCTTGTCGGGCTTGAGGGTGGCGTTGCTGCGTTGCAAAGCAAACGCCGCGTCCTGGGGTAATTGATTTTCGAGTGCCCGAAGCCAGTCGGGACGTCACACTCTGTTTCCAGCGTACGACGTCCAAACCAGATCCGAGCGAACCACAATTCAAAATTGTGGTATACTATGTCGGTGTCGGCACAATACGCCGGCCCGACGACCACGATGAGCACTTCGCTCAACGCGATGACTAGCGTCCGGGACTGGGGACCTGCCGGTGGTTCGCAGTGCCGGTACGCGACGGATGCAGTGGGCGGTGGGCCCTCTCGCTTGCCCTTGTTCGAGCGGGGCTGCCTCGGCTGCCAAAGAAGCTGAAGGCGAAAAAGAAAATGCATGGGTCAGCGATCCTGACAGCTGCACGAAACGGCAGGGAAAGCTCGGCACGAAGTTGCGATGGCACACATTGCGCACGATAGAACAACAACGACCAGGGGGACGTGAAGGGGAGATGGAGCTCAATGAACACTCACAACTGCGAGCAACACGGTACGCCGTCCATACGACAAAGCAGCCGTCGGACACCTGCGAATTCAGAGGGGATGTGAGCAGACCAATGACGCGACATGGAGGATACCGCCCGCATAGTTATTCAGAAAGGCGATCGAAAGCTAGGCGGTATCCACGTAGCTGTCAACAGCACGTACCTGGCTGAGCCGCGTGCAAGCGGACTGGGTTGCCTCCCCCATCTGTCACAGGCGTAACGGCAGGAGTCCATTGGAGGCGCGTTCTCGCTCGCAGTGGCTTTATGTACTCCGGCTCATCCGCAACTCATCTCCGAGTCGGATCTGGAACGTCCGAGTCGGATCTGGAACGACCGCAGCATCCAGATGGCGTGACGCTGCTGCGGTAATGAGCAAACCTCAAATGTGCGAAGAGATTGGTCAACATTCAGTCGGGGGAGCTATTGTTAACGACAGGGGCGAGGTGACAGGAAGCTGTAGCACGCCATTGGTCAATCGTGGGTGTTTGCGGAAGATGTATTCACTATCAGGCCTGCTTCAGGGAGATCTGCGCATGACATCATCTACACATAGGTATTCGGCAGACGAGTACCTGGTCCCCTTGTGAGCTTGTGGACGTCATTGACTCTCAAAGACGTACCATACAATCTGTGATACAAGCACATGAGCAGGATATGTGCCGACGGTTCAGTGATATGTACTCGTGCATCTGCTATTTCCTGGCGTACAACCTGGCCACCGCCCGCTCGATTCTGCACAACGTCGGAGGACCATCAGTGAGCATGACGGGTAGCCACCCGCAGACACAGACGCACCTCTGCTTCACGAGCATAGTCACGCCCTGACTCACGAATCCCTTCACAATCTGGACCCCGAGCGCTGCATACAGCCCTCGCCAGCCCTCTGCCCTCAATGCCGCGGCCCACACGTCCGTCATAGAGGGCGTATGCCCAGAACGCGTCCGCGATGCTTGTACGCGCACCTTCGCGAGGAGAAGGGGGTAGAGAATCGTGATAGCGAGTGCATTTGCAGCCGCGCCGCCGAGGAACGCGCCGAGCGCGGACTGGCTTGACGGGGAGGGAGACCTGCGCGGAAGGCGGAGGCGGCTAAGAAGTTGCATGAACATGAATGTGAGGGCGGGGGTGAGGCAAAGGGGTAGCGTTGGGCGGAAGCCTAGCGGTGCGCGTCAAGTCAGACGACCACAGGAGTGCACTTATCGTGCGCACCTGTCCAAAATCCCGGCAACCCCTCGTCTGCATATATGTTCCGTACGACTTCAGTGAACCCCGGTCTCCTGTCCTCCGCAGTTCGTTTTGCGCTTTCATCACTCGCGCCGTCGTCCTCGTCGCTCGTTTGGAGGCGAACGGTGATCACACTGAGAGGTGTAGATACGGCACGACTCGCGACTCCTGCGACGAAACCGATCGCGAGCTCTGTGGACGGCCACAGGAGTACCGGACGAGTCGGAGAAGTAAGGGCAAGTTTGAGTGTATGGAGAAGCGGCTCCTTTGAAGAGCCTCTCCTTCGGACTGCGAGTGCATGGAGGAGTGTGTAGAAATAGAAGTATAGAAAGCTAGTTCGGTCAGCACCACGTCAACTAAATACTGCAATTAGGGTGGAAAGAGTGCACGATTACGGGGCGATTCTGGGACGATTCTGGAGGCGACTTTGGCATAATCGCACAGAATCGCAGACGCTTCTCTGGGAATCGTGACCATAATCGTCCTCGGTATGAGAATCGCCTCAAAATCACACACTCTGACCACCCCTGATGAAAGACGTACTTGGATATCAACGTCGACGCCGTATCTGTGGGCAACCCATCATACAGCCCCACCAATCCCTCCGAATATCGTATGTGGGTGACGAGTCGATATACGCCCCGAAACCCTCTGTGCTTGCGAGAGCTGTTGGTCTGCAACTTTGTGGCGACGAGGTCGAGAGGGTACGAGACTGCATTCGCAGCCGCACTCCCAAGCGCGCCAGAGAAAGCTTGAGCAAGAGGTGGCAGAGCAGAGGTCATTGTGGATGGAGGAAACAAATCCTAGACGTCGCTGCCACGCCGTCGTCCGTCGCTGAGGGCATCGTCGATGACGTCGTCTGGCGTTGCCACAGACATGATTGTGCCTGTCCTATAGCCGGTTCGGTGGTACGTCCGGTGGGAAGCTCGAGAATAAGTACAAACATGATATGTTGAGGTGGGGGTAGTCGTGGATGGCAGTGGGTGTTCAAGGTAAGGTAAGAAGTGACCGCAACTACATTCACCTCCCTCCAAATTTGGTAACCTAGACGCCCATGAGTGGTCATAAGCGCGTTGGCGCCAAGCACCTTTCTGGGGTGCAAATTTTGTATGCGCTTCCGCGTCAAATTAATAGATATGAGAAGTTTCCCTCATGATTCCAACAGTTACGGTGGTACACTTGGGGCATATCAATAGACGCCTTCCCCTTCCTCATGTCTCCCGCACAGGTCTGATTATGGACAGATAAATGCGCTTATCGTACATTGCAATGCTCGGTATCGATACAACTACATAAGAGTAGTACACAGATTAATAGTTCCCTGCACAATAAATCCAAGAAAAAGTGAGGATAGGAAGATGGTGCAGTGACCCAAGAACTCCCGAGCAAGAGAACTAGTGTGGTCAACAGCAAACCGAGCTCCGGTTCTCTAGGGGGTCGTGGAACTGGCAAGCGAAGCACATTCCTCCCTGTCGCTTAGCGAAAGATCAAGGCGCGGCAACGCGGAGGGGTGTCACCAGACCCGGCCTGACTCGCGCTCCAACGTGGCCCACGCCGCGCGGGTGCAGTTATCGCATCTCTCGTGGATCAGGCTCAGCACCCTCCGGCATTCACGAGGCACCTGCGTCAGAAGCAAAATGAGGTTCGCATTGGAACGCCCATGCCAGAGTGTCCCGCGCATTCGATTCGGACGTACCTTCGAGCAGGTGCAGACGCGCTGCCCTGGACGATGTTGGTGCGCGACGCTCAGCGCGCAGCTCGCCGAGCCGCAATCCGTCTTGTTCCCGCTCTCGTAGAGCTTCACGTAGTGCTATTTGAGAATACCCACGTCAGGCCGAGGAAGGCGAGGTAGGATATACGGAGCCGCTTCGGGTAGAGGAAATAACGCACCTCGCACCCGCGGTGGTAGTTCCCGAAGCTGTGGTACAACGAAACGCGAAGAGGAGGCCAATCAGGACAGGCGTTCACTCCCGGGAACATCTCGCCGTATCGACTGCACGGATGCTACTCACCACTCAATTTCACACATCGTGCTCTATCGACGACGGTGGGCAGCACAGAGAAAAGACGTGACACGATCCGGTAGGACGTGGATGGTTGAAGAATCAAAGAGAGTAGGTGAATAGGGAGGCACAGAGATGTGGTAGTCGGAGGGGCTGTATGTGCTCCGAGGTGTTGGTCTGACCTCAGGACAGCGAGCCAAGTCCTTATAAGCATCCGCACAAGGGGGGAGGCCGGGTAATATTGCAGCACTTACACGCCCGCGTTGCCCATGCTATACTATGGACACTCCGATTGCCTCCACGAAAGCGCGGGGCGTGCCATTGTGCCGGGTTTGCCATTTCCGCTTCCGCGTCGACGCCTATCTTGGCAGCTCGAGCGCCCGCATGGCGTCTGGTGGCCCTACCCCGCTCGCCCTGCAACAGCTCTCAACCAGCAGAAGTTCGAGCGATAGGCGAGCTGACGTCGTGTGATCAGTGCGTCGATCCGGGTTGCGTCCGCGAGTACCCAATCAGGCTGCGCCAAGAGCATCTGGTTACGCAAGCACACTCGACAGGGATTTCGAATATCCTCAGACGTACCCGTATCCACCAGACCCCTTAAGGGCGAGTGGAGGAGAGGGTGCCGAGGCGGACGGACAACCGGAGATGGGGGAACTGCTACCTTCGAAGGAGGGACCCGCAATGTGCTCGAATCGCCGCACGGGATGTAGGACCCTGATGGAGAGGAAGGGAGAGCGAGCGAGCGATCCCGGCGAGAAGGTGGCCTCGTTGCAGACATGCCGGCGTGCGTCCGCAAGTCGGCCCGATGTTGCGAATCCGCGCCGTAAACCGTAGCATGTTGGGTGGCTGTGGGAAGCACTAGGTTACACCACTTCGATCCGAACGCACAGGTCCATCTCAGCGAACCCAACAGGTGGACGCCGATTGTAGCAAGTGTCAGGATTTTGGGGGCACGATAGCCCTCCGACCTGCGTGACAAAGGGCTACACAGCAGAAGAAGCTGTGCTGTGCTTCGACCCTCGAGAAGGAAGATCTCAAGGGCAAAAGACAGATAGCCTGCTAGCCCTTGACCTCGAAACGTCGATGACGCCACAGAGTGAACACCCTGAAACATTGTGGATGAAGGTGTCGAGCGGACAAGCTCACGCTGCTATTCCACGACAACAGAACCTTCGCATCGATGAGGGCGTCCAACCCGCGGTCCGAATGGCAGAACAGAAACTTGTTTCACGTCGAAGCTCTCATAGTCCAGACCAATAGGTCTTCCTACGTTCGCAGCAACGCGCCCAATCACCATGAGATACTACCTCTCTTTCGACCCATCCCATCCCCATTTGGCAGGAACACACCTAGGTGACCTCAATGACGGTCGATGAAATCCCTATCAACGTAACAGGAATGCGTCATGTAGGCTCATTTGACAGAGTAGGGCCGTGGACCACTTCACGCGTCTGACGAGTTAACGCCGCGTCAAGCGCACCGTGTGCCCATTCGAACTAAAAACAGCGCGGAGTTTGCCTTTACGTTTGACTTGCCTGACATCTAACTCCGGAGAAGCAGGCGAGTCGGCTCGGGAGCACACGCACCTCCGCGCCTCATAGTTGTTCTGCCGGCGGCTCGTAATCATACTGAGCGCACACGACACTGCAATAAGTCTATCCATGAAGATCGATAGTATGAAAAAGTCATCGAAAGACAGCACAGAGAGTCGCGACCAGATACACGCGCCGCAAACGCGGACATGATCATCTAATCCATGGCACCTGACCGACACTCCACGGTACCCAAGACTCGGTCACGCGACTCCCTTGAGAGTGGTCGCCAGCCCTGCAGGCCCGCACGAGCCAGTCGGTATAGTTGCCGGTGTGGGCCCACAAAGTTGGCATCAATGAGGCCCAGCCTCCTGCGGATGAAACTAGGCTGAACGACGCTTCCCGTGCTGCCCGAGCAAGACAGGAACACCGCGCGCCCCGCACCGGATCCTAACCGTGCCTCCACGAGACCGGCAGTGATCGGGACGACCAGGCCCACGACGCCGATAGACCAGATGCAATGAATCAGAGAGTGGATGACCCGAAGGCGGCTCCAGGCGGTCGATCCAAACGCAGAAGAGAGACAGCATCCGTTGCGTGAGAGGTAATTACGGCCACCATGGCCACCCGTGCGCAAGTGCGCACACGATACGGTACGGTACGACTACTCGCTGGGGTAGTCGTAGAAGCCCTTCCCGCTCTTCTTCCCGTACCACTGCGCGTCCACCATGCGCTCCAGGAGCACGCTTGGGCGGTACTTAGAGTCGCCCGTGCCGTTGTGGATCGTTTGCTGGATTGCTAGGCACGTGTCCAGCCCAATGCTGTCGGTTCCAGCAGCACGCGCGAGACGCGCAGCCAAGGGCACAGTGCATACGTCCGACGAGAACGAGCCGTCGTCCGAGCGAGCCATGAGGAGTAGCCGTTCATAGTAATCACCAACCCATGAACGATTGTGGCAGTGACGATGGAAGACCAAAAGAGTAGGAGAGCACGCACGCAAGATCAAACGAGGCGGCAAATTTCCAGGTGGGGCAGGTGGCCCGGATGTTTGTGTACGTGTGCACATAGAGGCGACCGGGTCATCGGAAAGATAAGCCGTTTGTGCGAGGGGGGCGAGGAGACATTCGAGGGCCGAATGGTGCGCCAACGAGACGGTGGTGTGAAATCAGTGATGACACGTCGACCAAGCTCACATGAATGCGACTCACAAATCGGCTGCCAAAGAGAGCGTTCATTAGTGCAACATGAACACGGGAAGCTGCGGAGGACAAACCTAATTGGAGAGGTCCCATTGGATGGTTCATGCCCAATTTCAGCGTTTTGTCAATATCCTCCCGGGTGGCGATACCCTGGAACGAATCTGGTAAGCCCATATGATCACATTTCCGGCTGCTCGTGAGCGACTTGCCTTCTCAAGCATCAGAATAGCCTATGTATTCGCAGCAAGCCCTCGTTCAGCATGGCGCCCCCGCGAGACACAGAGTCCGCAGCTCCACGCACCTCATTGATGAAGGGCATCAGCAGCCCGTTTGCCACGAAGCCAGGAACGTCCTTCGAATATGTCACCTCTGTCGCAAGCAAGCGCGGTCAGAGTCAGTGAGGTGATGGGTAGTGTAGATGAAAGTGATGGTGAACGATAGATGGACGGAGGAAGAATGCGATGCGCACCCTTTCCGCACGCCGATGCGTATGCTCTCGCGCGGTTGAGGGTCTCCTCCGACGTTTGCGCCGCAGCGATCAGCTCCACCAGTTTCTGTGACGACGTGGCAGTAGGAGATCAGCACCCGCAATCTGACCCCGTTGTCGGAGCTGCCAACCAGTAGGCGTATGTACGCACCATCACCGGGACCGGGTTGAAAAAGTGCAAGCCGACCACTCGGGAAGCGCTCTCCTTGCCCTCAGGATCCGCTGCGGTCTTCCCTTCAGGTATGGTGGAAGCCGCGATCTTTGTGATGCTGATTGAGGACGTGTTCGTCGCGAGGATCGTCTTCGGAGACAACTCCGCGGACAGCGTGCGGAAGATGCCCTGTTTGACCGCCAGGTTCTCGGAAACTGCCTGTACGTAGGATTTAGCAATGCCGAACACGGTGTTCGCTCTGAGACAATGAGGTGAAATTTGGATGCACATATAGGGTCGACCCGCCTGTGCTGAATCTCGAACGGCTAGAGTCAAGCGATAGTATTCCACAACACCTATTTCCTCACGTGATCTCTGCAAACGTGGATGTGTTCAAGACTAGCATCGAGAGCTTGTCAGGCATGCTTTCGGCTGTCCAAAAAGCACATGCGAACATGTGATTGTCCTCGACAGGCACAACGGGAAATCCGTAGTGGCGGAATGTGAATTCAAGGGATGGAACTTGACAAAGTATGTTTGCAGATGTGCAAATACAGAGCCTGAGCTTCGGACGCTGCAAGGATGTCCCCAGCAGCGAGCGTCGAAATCTGGTCAAGATCAACCTCTGCTGACAATACCGGAGTACATGCACCTGCCCGCAGCGACGCACATCTCGCATCTCGTAAGCAGGCTGATGCCAAAGCAACCACGCACGACAGGGAGTCGGGCGTGTTAGATTGGCGAAAAGTCGATGGAGAAGGGATTAAATCTTGGTAGAAGAGCGCTGCCCGTCGTGGTAGCCTTTGGGGAACGTTAGATTTCCAGTATGGTTGCACTGCGGTCAAGCCGTGTATGGCGCCGCGGTGTGCACCACGATTGACCCCCGTGTACTGGTGGCGAGTATCAAGCACTCATCTCGAGGTGAAAGTGCCCCAAGGACATCTTAGTGATAGTTTGAGAAGGGTTCCAGGTAACTCGGAGAACTCCGAAAACGTCTTGACCCCCAGGCGCGACGTGCACGGGGAGCACGACGACAAGCCTCTGAAGGCGCGCTTGGACATACTTGTAAACGAAATTTCTCGGGAATATCCGCAAAGTACAAAGTTCGACGCGTACTTGAGCCGATACACTGTGGCGTCATACACGGCTTGACCACGGTGCAACCATACTGGAAAACTGACGTTCTGAGCCTTTGCACCAAATTCTTGCTAGTCAAAAACACCCAGATCTCTTCCGTGACGAGCATCGTCCACTCCTTGGGTTGGGTGGTCGACCCGAAAAGGCGAATGTACCATTGCATGCGCGCACATGAATACAAATGCGCGGATGCAACGACACGGCAATTTCAAAAGGGATGAGATGCGCTCCGAGATGTGTGTGAACATACCTCAACAACCAAATCAGCGTCCTTGAAGCCCTTCAGATCGTCCACAACCGCGACACGATCTCTAGCCTCCTTGGCTGCTTCGGAAGTCAACTTTCCCTTCGAGACATCTTTCGCGAGTAGTTTGTCGAAGAACGAAAGCCCTGACTTGATTTGTGCCGAAGACCGGTCGTGAAGCAGCACTGGAACCTTGGCGTGCACTGCGGACACGAATGCGATCCCGAGACCTATGGCATGGGGTGAGCAGACGCGACGGACAACATACGATCAAGGACGTACCCATTTGTCCAGCGCCGATAACGCCCGCTCTCCTGATGCCGTGGGAGATGCTCATCTTCTGATTTGGTATAGTAAAGTCAAGCAGGACAGTCTGAGGACGTCAGTCAAAATGACGCAGCTGGAAGAAGGTGGAAGGATCGTATAACGACGTATTCCCGGAGCTTGTCACCCTCTTGCCGACCGGCGGCGCATGTGAATGCGGGTTGCCCGATGCATCTGATCCGCCCCTGATTGGTTGTCCTTGCTTTAGCGCCCTGATGTCCTCCTCCATCTGCAGACTCAGCAGCCTTCTCTAATTCATACCTCGCTTAAAAAATACTCTAGGCATTGCGTGATGGCAATTCTTGTACTCATTAGGCTACGTCAAAGTCTAAAGAAGTCACTTATCGCATGTAGAATTTCGCTGGCAGCCTCCGCAGATTTACCCGTTATAACTCTCGTCGTCTCCATCAAGCTACGCTCAAGATATCCACAGGAGGGGTAGTAGGGCCGCTCAATTCTTGAGGACGCAGGACGCGTTCAGAGGCCATTGATAGAGGTGATGGGCTAAGCGAGACTAGCCGACAAGAAACCCCTCGAGCGACGATAACACTCCTCCCCCCTCACAAAGTGCCTCAAGGGTAGTGTCAATCGACGCGGAAGGCTTTCGTCTTCAACATACTCGCGATTTATATTTTTTATGTGAGGTTTGGGACACGACAGACCTCTTGGAAAACAACGGGCACGAGAAATGAGGTTGGTACCTTGCCGTATGCGGCAGGTTCGGCTAGCCCATCA